TGCTGACGCACCTTCTGCTGCTGCTGATGGTGGTGTTGCTGCTGCTGATGGTGGCGCTGCTGCAGAAGCTGCTGCCAGTCCTTCTGCTGCTGCTGATGGTGGTGCCAATGCAACAGCTGCTGCTGGCCCTTCTGCTGCTGCTGACGGTGGAGTTGCTGCTGCTGCTGCTGCTGCTGCTGCTGCTGCTGCTGGAACCTCTGAAGCAGCTGCTGCCACACCTTCTGCTGTTGCTGAATCTTCCTCCTTGCAGAGAGCTTCTGTAAAGGAACATAAGAGAGGGGAAGAGAGAGAAAAAAGACATACAGCGGGTAAGGGGACTGGAATACCCACAGCACCTTTTTCTATACATTAAGGGGCCAGGAAGGAAGGACCACCACCCACCACTCTTCAGGGAATAAATTTTGCCACATTAGGATCACGTTGCCACAATGGAATCATGTTATCACATTGCGATTATGTTGCCACATTGGGATCATGTTGCCACATTGGGATCGTGTTGCCACATTGGGATCGTGTTGCCACATTGGGATCGTGTTGCCACATTGGGATCGTGTTGCCACATTGGGATTGTGTTGCCACATTGGGATCGTGTTGCAACATTGGAATCGTGTTGCCACATTGGGATCATCTTGCCACATTGGGATCATCTTGCCACATTGGGATTAGGGCCGCATTGTGATTATGTTGCTGAAGTGCGATCATGTTGCCACATTGGGATTATGTTGCCACATGTTAGACAACTGAGGCTAACACCACAGTTATATGACAGAGGTTGAGAATGAGTGTTGATACATTTGTATATAAGCGAGAATAACCTTTGGGAAGGGTCGAGGTATGCCTGTGCAAAGGGGCGAGCCGAGTAATGCTCGACTCGTCCCTAGCCTTGCTCGGCCGAGTACGAGCCCGAGTCGAGTAATACTCGACCGAGCATTTTTACACCAAACAGAAACTCGTTACTCGCCTTATAAAAGGGAACTCGGGCGAGCATTTAGAAAAGCTTGTCCGAGTACGAGTAAATACTCGGCCCTGTGCCCTACTCCTGCATAGAACGACTCTGTACATAACAAGGAAGGCCATTGGTACCACGGAAGTATTGGGGTTTCCAAGGTGGTCCCAGGAAGCCTAGAGAAGCTCGGGAAAGCCCTAGGTTGCCTTGGGTAGTCCAGGGTAGCCTTGGGTTGCCGCGGTAAGCCCATGGAAGCCTGCTTAGACCTGGATAGGCAAGTACTCGTCGAGCAAACAAAAACTCGGCGAGTAAAACTCGGCTCGACTCGCCCGAGTAAAATTTACAAAAACCGAAACTCGTTACTCGCACCCAAACGAGTAACTCGGGCGATACCGAGCGAGTAACTCGTCTCGTTGCACAGGTATAGGTCGAGGGACGCTCGGGGCTGAGAAAGGAAGAGCCTGTGGGAAGGGAGGTGTGCTAACTCGGTGTGGTGAGAGGAGAGGCGAAGAAGCTGAGCGGTAACAAGGCAGTGTGGTTCGACTGCAAAAGGGGGTGGCGAATGGAATGCGAATGTTGCGTGCATGCTTGCAGGCACCAAGTCCAAGGCCAGCTGGAAGCAGCGAGGAGGCAGATCTGGGCGGCCTAGCGTTAGGATCTAGTTCACCCCCGTGAAAGCTAGCAACTAACCTAGGATAGGAGGAGGTAGAATAGGGGGAACGGGCCATGGGACTTTTACTCTTTGTATGTTCTTGTTTCTTACTGTAATTTCTTCCCTGAAGATAAGCAGTGCTAGACAAGGCCACTACAAGCAGCCAGATGGGGTAGGAAGGAGCTGAGCTTAGGAAAGAGCTGCAGATTAACTGAACAAGGGAAAGGGCAAGGAGAAAGTGGGGTAAAGAAGGATAAGAAGAGGGAAGGATGAGGCACACTGGAGGAGGATAAGTAGAAGACTCAAGGCAGAATGAGGAAGCTGGATAGGGAGGATGGGGTCAGACGGTTTGGACAGTAGGATGGGGAGGCAAGGCAATGAGTCGACCAACCCTATAGACTCATTGCCTTGCCTCCCCATCCGGTCACAGCTCACCGACCCTATAGTCCGGGTCGGGTCAGCTTTTTCTGGGGTCCTTACCCGAGATCGGGTCGGTCCGACCTAGGCATGATCATCCTGCCCCGGCGGGTCGGGTCGACCCGACCCGACCCGGGTTTTGACCCGGGTCGGGTCAGGCATTTTGAAGCGCTGACCCGGCCGGGTCGGGTCGGGTTTACCCAGTCGGGTCGGGTTTACCCGGTCGGGTCGGGTCGACCCGACACCCGAAACCGGGTCGGGTCGGGTCGGGTCAGATTTAGACCCGAAGTCGTACCCGACCCGGTTTCGGGTACCGCGCCCTAAGTCGGGTCGAGTATTTGGCCCAACCCGACTTTTCCTCCCTTGACAAGTTGCACTAAAGCAGATCGCAAAGTCAATGTCTAGGGTTTGTTTGTTCCCTCTACATTGACATTCCCTCGACAAGTTGCACTAAAGCAGATCGCGAAGTCAATGTCTAAACCCTAGACCGGAGCTGCTGTAGTAGGTCATCGTCAAAGTGAAGAGGAAGAAATCGAACGCAAAGATTATTGAAGGGAAAAGCGGCCTGACATTGAGTGAGTCTGGTAGAAGTTGGCAACAAATTGGATGGGGTGAAGGTGGGTTGTGAGCGGTGGATAAGAGGGAATGATCCACCAACAATCTCGAAATTCAGATCTGAAGTTGCTTTAGCAACGCGCGAACTCAGATCTGAATTTCTAGACTCAAATTTGAGTTCGCCAGATCGCGAACTCATCTGATTTTTTTTTTCGGTCAGCCCGAGCCAAATTTGGCGAATTTTAAGAAAAATCCGCAGCGTACGAATTCTAGATGCGTATAAACTCAATACGCAACTTGAAACTAGCGTTTTTTCCAACTTAGGAACCTCTTACCCTGCATATGGGGTCCTGGCCCGACCCGACCCGACCCGGCCCCTACCCGACCCGACCCGGGGGCGGGTCACGCCTGACCCGGCACCCGATACCCGGGTCGGGCCAGGATTTTTTAAGTTCCGACCCGACCCGACCCGACCCGGAACCCGGCTGGCCCGCCCAAGTCGGGTCGGGTCGGGTCGGGTCGGGCCTAATGATCATGCCTAGTCCGACCTTACCAGTACCCGTCTCAGGTCAAGCACCGGGTTGGGTCGGGACAGGTCGATCCTTGCTCATTGTCTATTTTGACATGAGCCCCGCCCCCCCCCCCCCTTCCCCGCCCTCCTGGTAGCTGTGCAGTAAGTTTACTCGCAAGACGCTTCTTCCAGCCCATACATGGGCATTTGACCCGGACGGGTCGGGTAACCCGACCCGACCCGCCCTTTAGGGCGGGTCGGGTCAGGAATGCTGAGAAGGCTGACCCGCCCGGGTCGGGTCGGGAAAACCCGGACGGGTCGGGTCGACCCGTGATTTAGTGACGGGTTTTTGCGACCCGCCGGATCGGGTTGACCCGTCCCGTCCGGGTCGCGTACCCAGTCAAATGACAGGGTAACCCGAACCGTTTTTGGATTAGGGTAGGGGTTGAACATCGGTTGGTTTTTTAGGTTTTTTTTCCCTCGACATTCTGATCTAGTCGCTAGACTAGATCAAGGCTAGTACTTCTGCGCTGCAGCTAGGGAGCCTCATACAGTCTTCACTCTTCAATGTTAGCACTATTTAAACTGCATATTATCTTCAGGTTAGGGTTTGGTGCTCCCGCCATTTCGCAGCGTCGCACGACCAGGGGCGCAGCAGCGCGCGTGCGGCCACGCATAGGCGGGATCGCGTCCCCGCAATAGTGGGATTAGGGATGAGCAAAGGGCGAACACGAACATGTTCGTCTTCGCCCCTTGTCGAACACCCTCTTTTGCCGAACCGAACAGTGTTCGGTTCGGCGAACAGTTTAGGAAAAAACAGGTGTTCGCTGTTCGCCTGTGGAGGCGTGTTCGGGCGAACCTCGAACACTGTTCGTGTTCGTCGCGGGCAAATTTCAGCAGCGGCCCGAACACGAACGTGTTCGGGCGAACATCGAACACTGTTCGGCGAACGATTTGAGCTAAAAAACAAAACCTGTTCGGTTCGCCTCGAACACGTTCGAGGCGAACCGAACAGGTGTTCGCCACCTTGCTCATCCCTAAGTGGGATCTCGGCCCCGCGTTTGCTCAGCGCGATCACGGCCCCGCATTGGCGCGATCGCCGCCCCGCATATGCGCGATCGCGGCCAGGTTCAGCATCGCGATCAGGCAGCGCGATAGGGCAGCGCGATCGCGGCCACCTTCAGCAGCGCGAAGGCGCCACCTTCAGCAGCACGAATATAGTTGTAACATGTAGTTTACAATGTAGCAATTCAGACCTAACCCCCATACCCTGCTGCTATGTAGCATATTTTGATCCGACCCGACCCGACCCGTGGTGTAACCGACCCGGTAACGGGTCACAAATACCCGTTCCCACGGGGCGAGTCGGGTCACCAAAACAGAGTCAAACCCGACCCGCTAACCCGACCCGACCCGACCCGTTAAGCTAACGGGTCGCCCTCAACGGGACGGGTCGGGTCAAATGCCCATGCTTATTCCAGCCGCTGCCACGTGGCGGCACGTAGCCCCTCCTTGTCAGCAGTCCACCCCTTTGTTGTAACTTTTTTATACAACATACATGGGCTAAATTGTGAGGTATGGTTGCTAAGGGGCTGTTGGGTGTACCTTCCAACCACAATCTGTGGTTCATTTTTGGTTGGGTTCCCAACACTTAATGGACTCCAATAATGTTGATCAACACCAACCAACAACCACAATAATGTTGATCAACACCAACCAACAACCACAATAATGTTGATCAACACCAACCAACAACCACAATAATGTTGGCCAAACCAGCCAACCATCATCAGGGCCTCTCACAACTGTAAGCCAAGCCACCTCAACTCATTCGAGATTAATCAACACAGTTTTTTGTTTTCGCACCTTTTTCCTTTGGGAACTGGCAGTGATACTCGTAGTAGAGCCCCTCCTCCATCTCAAGAAACATCATGCGAACGTTGATGGCCAGCTCTTTCACTGCCTGGGCAGAAAGGAGGGGGACGGGTGGAACGGGGAGAGTGAGGGGGGAAGGTAGTTCGGAAGAGGAGGGAGAGAAGTGGAGGAGTGGAGGAGAGGGGAGGGAAGAGAAAAGGAATGGAGGGAGAGGTGTGGGGGAGAGCAGGGAGAGGAGGGGGAGAGAGGAGGAAGAGGAGTGGGTGAGGGGAGAGAAGTGAGAGCTGTATGCATGCATCGATTTTTAGGCGCCTCGAAAGCAGCACAGCATGCATGCACGTAATATGTAGACACCTCTTAGGCAGCACAGCACTCATGCATTGGGCAGGAGAGGATTTTCTTTGGGCTTTCATTGTAAGCATCTCCAGCCACTTGTCCATATCCAGAAACATCTCTCTCTGTTCATAGTATGCGCATTGTGGGGAGACGAGGCGAGGGAGGGGAAGATGAAGGAGAGTGGAGGGGGAGAGGAGGGGGAGAGGAGGGGGAGAGGAGAGAGAGGTGGGGTGGGGGAGAGGAGAGAAGGGAGAAATAGAGGGGAGAAGTGAGAGGGAGATGGGGTTCAGCAGAGCAGGAGGACAGAGAAGAGGTGGGGATTTGAGGGTGAGAAATGCGAGGGAGGAGGAAAAAGAGGTGCGGATATGTAAGAGATGAGCGTAAAAGTGCACAAGGAGGATGAAGAAATACAAGTAACCTTAATTGGATAATGACATTTTTCAGGTCACGTAAAGTTGGCCGACCGACCAGGTGAGTAGTTTCTTAACTTGCTGTGATTCACTTGCCTACTGCTCGCTTCACAGCCAAGCTGGTCACTAGGACGGGATCATTGGTTACAGCGTGTGCCACAGCCTGTGCAAACAGCCAAGGCCTACACACACTGCACCTGCAGTCGCCCTCGAACCACCTCTTGTTTCAGTTCAGAAGCAATCAGCACTACAACCACTGGTCACACTCTACCTGGTTCCAGTGGCTTCAGCCCCTGCCACAGCCATAGGCAGTCCGTGCTACAGCCATAGGCAATCAGTGCTACAGCCACAGACACAGCTCAGAAGCAATCCAAGCACTACACAGGGCCCAATGCACACACTATACCTGATTCTGGTGGCTTTCAGCGCTGCGCTCCAGAGCAGCAACGATGAGCGGCAAGATGGTGTCGTGGTTCTGAGCCACGAGCGCCACGATGTAGTCGTTGCCCCACAGGCGCAGCGTGCGCTCCGCCACCTAAAGGAAGGAGGGGAATGGAGTTGGGGTGGGGAAGGGTGGAGGAAGAGACATGTTCGTTCAGCGCCACGAGCGTGACGATGCAGCATGCGCTTCGCCACCTGCATGGGGGGAAGGAAAATGGGGTTTGCGGGGGGAGGAAGGTGGAAAGAGACATAATAGTTCCGCGCCAGAGCGTCACGAGGCAGTCGTTGTTCCGTCAAAGCAGTGTGTGCTTCGCCACCTGCATGGGGGGAAAGGGAAATGGGGCGGAGGAGGGGGAGGCTGAAGGGGGGGGTGTATATATGGGGCATGGAATGTGAAATGTGACATAAGGACGCGGCACCTGTTTTCATATTGCCAGGATCGATCGTGGGAGGGGATCGATGTGCCGCTTGTACAGTGTATTGGCGACCTCGCCAATGCCTGGTATCCGTTTTTCGCTGAACGTCGAGAATGTACAGCAAACGGGTACCCAAATTGGTGGCACCTGCAGCTCGCACGATCGATGTGCCGTGGTGCATGCGTTAGGGTTGGCGGGAGAGCATATCGCGCCACAGGTGACAGCCTCGATCGATCGGCGTCGCCCACGGTCGTAGGTCAAAAATTCTAGAGTCGCTGCGAATGGAATTGCTGGACGACCATCCACGCTCTGCCCTGATTGGCTGCGCGTTGAAGTGTAATGGCAGCTCCAACCTGCCCGAGCCTGCAATTTCGATCCTGGCACCTATAGCTCGATGTGTCTACCCCACTGCAAATTTGCAGTGTGGGCACATCGGTGTGCCGATCGATATGCCAGGATCGATGTGAGGCCACGATCCTTGTAAAATGAAAACAGGTGCCGCGTCCTAAGTGGGGCCTAAGGTAGGGTGTCACATGACACGTCAGGCAGGCAACGACAATCACATTAGCCAGAACCTAATGTCGCATCCATAAAAGAGAGTAAAAATTGCGAGCCTCACTCACTATATCCCAACTCTGGTCGCTGTCGGTTAGTTTCTGAGAATGCTTAAAGCCTCTCCAACTTGGAATGCCATACGATACTAGCGCATTCAAGAATCGAAGCTGAATTATGAAATTTTGTAAGTTTGAGGGACACAATGGCGAGAGCGTTGTGGGCATTGCACGCCGGAAGTGCGGCATCATGCTCCCCTGGAGCTCGGAAGCCTTCATGATGTGCCCCACTCCATCACACCCCGTCACACCTCTTTCACCCCATCACCGTGCCATGCCCCTTTGGTCCCTGTCACAACCCGTATACTCTGCTGGAACAGCCGTGTCACGACCATTTGACAGCTCGTGTTCTTGTGCGAGAACGCATCGCACCCAGTCACACCATATTACACAGCATCACACCGTACCTGTAATTGGGTGGGAGCCACACCTAGCCACACCCTCTCGAACCCGACCACCGTATCACATCCACACGAACAGCATCACACCCGGACACCCCCCCATACCACCGTACCTGGAAGTGGGAGGAGCTGAGGCAGAGCGCGATCTGCTGGAACAGCGGCGTCATCACCAAGTGGAACTCGAGCTCCTGCGTGAGCTCCAAAATCTTCTCCAACTCTTCCAGGAAAAGCAGCTCATTCTGGTTGTTACTTAAGGGCCAGAACTCAAGCAACCCGAGCAGCACCGAATCCGCAAGATTCGGGTCTTTTTCCACAAACAGAGTGATGCAGTACGACAGCTGCTGGTGGTACATCGACACGCACTTAGGCTTGTGCAGCGGAACCAGCGCTCGCTCCAGGATCTGCTTTCGCTCCTCCTTACTAACCGGCATCACAAATCCTTAAGAATATCCTCTAGAAACTCTAACAGCTCCGCGATGCCGTTATGCCGCTCCGACTTTATAAACTGGTAAAAGATCTTGTTTACCGCTTCGCGGATGAACAGCCGATGAACCATGAATTTCAAGTAAATCTGGTGCATGATAGTCTTCAAGTAGCCCCGCTCGCGAGGGTCCTCCGAGTCGAACAGGTTCAGCAGCTTTAAGACGAACTCCTGGTCTATGTAACGCTTCGCCACGTCGTCCGCGTCGGTCTCGCTACTAGAGACAACATACCAAAGCAGGAACTCGTATACTATTTGCAGATGCGGCCACGCGGCTTCCATAGTCGGCTTCTTTAGCTCCGGATCGATTGATTCCGACTCGGACATCTCGTGCGCGGACGATGGTAACGGCCGGAAGAGATTAACCTCCAACATCCGCGTGATGCCTTTGAATACCGCCTCGTTGTATTTCCCCGTTCCGGATTTGACGTAGTCGACTAGCTCAAGGAGAGTTTGCCGCTTAATCTCCTTCCCCTCCATGTTTTTCATGGGGTCGTTAAAATCAAAGAGGTAACTGCAGAGGTGAAGCTTTTGGATGAATGCCTCCTCCGCGAAATGCGACAAATCTGCCTGCGCAATCTCGTTCGGGACGCGGCAAACGAGAGCCGTTGGATTCGCGGCGCCTGCAGGCGGATGCGGGCTTCCCACAGCGTCCGCTCCCCCCGAAGCGGCACTTACTGCAGCTGCTCCTGCATTGCCTGCATTGTGCGACGCTGCGTGTGTGTGATTTTTCCGACCCCCTACAAACGTCTTCTTAAATGACTGAAGCATGCTAAGCCGCTTCCTGCGCGTGGAACCCTAGTACTAACCGTTACTAATATTGACACGAAATCTTGAATGCCAGGGTTTGTTGAAGTATGTTCGACGTTAGAAGGTGAACTGAGTGGAAGAAGATGCTTTCGACGCGTCGCGTCGAAACGAAATCAGGCTGAACAGCTTCGGAACTCCCGTAGGGGCTGGACGTCTCACGTTTGGCAGCCTTGGAAAACAACTGATTGGTTGGAAAGCTTGCTGGCTGCTTGGGCAGAACATTTTGCACTACCGAAATCGGGTCCTGCGATAAGTAGAGATTCCAAGCTTTTGACCTGTATACATTTGCAAAGGTTATTTGAAATTTCGTAATCCCAAACCCTGGAGTCCCTCGTCCCAGAACGGAGGTGATCCCGCCAACACCCCAGAGCAGTGGCTTTTGCTGGTCGTTCATGACTTCAGGAAAACCGGAAATGTAAGGAAAAAAAAACCCTAACAGGGTTAACGAGTACAACCCCCATGTTATGATTAGGAGCTTGGATAGGATAAGCCTGCCTTAAGATATTTGGTTGCGGAAGTCTTTGTGGAAGCAAACTTGTGCAAAGTGGATGTAGGTTGTTACAAATAGTGAAATGCAAAGAACAAAGAACACAAGGAGTACGAAGGCGAAAGGTCGAAGCGACGCGACATTTATATCCCTCTATACTCTAATTTATCTGACGTTTGGTGTCCATCTATACTCTTATTTATATGCATGTATTTGCATGTGTTGTGTAAGAAGACCTAGCAAAGTACAGAAGCGCTGATGATCACAAGGCGGAAGGGCCTTGGTGAGAATATCAACAGTGTTGGCCTCAGAGGCCACGTATGTGAGGCGGAGCTGACCACGCTGCTGCAGCACACGAGCCAGGAAGTAGCGGAGAGCAATGTGCTTCATTCTGTGCTCCAGTCTGTGCTCCCGACACAAGGCCAGCATGGCCTTGTTGTCTACGTACAGAACCGGAGGAGAACGAGGCGGCTCTCCTAAGTCAGTCAGCAGGTAGGTGAGCCAGCGTAGCTCCTATGTAGCCATGGCCCCTGCGTAGATCTCAGCCTCACAGCTGGAGCTGAGAATAGGGAACGAGCGGGTAGACCGCCACGAAACAGAGCCGGAGCCAAGGCTGAAGGTGTAACCCTGTGACGACCGCTGCAAAGCCTGGTCGTCAGCCCAAGAAGCGTCAGCGTGACCTGTGAGTACCACTCGACGTCGCCCTCCAAGCACTAGTCCCATGCCCAATGTACTGCACACGTAGCGCAACACCCTCTTTGCTGCAGCCATGTGATCTGGTCAGTGTCTCCCAGGAGCAACATAGCGTGCCAAGATGCTAAGAGGGTATGCAAGGTCAGGTCGTGTGCAGGTCATCAAGTACATGAGACAGCCAACAAGCTCTGGGTACGGGCCACTCGGCTCTACGGACTCATCCGAAGGCAGAGCTGAGAGCGAGTGGCGAGTAGACAGAGGAGTGGCCTGAGGCGAGGAGTACGTGAAGCCGAAGCGCTGAAGGACATGCTGCACCATGTGTGACTGAGTCAAGGTTATGGTGCGCTGTGCTCTGTCCCGGGTGATCTGCAAGCCAAGGTAGCTGCGCAGTTCACCCAGGTCTGTGCATGTGTGTCTCTTCTACAGCTCGGACTTCACGTGGGCGAGTCCAGCAGTATCAGCAGTGGCAAAGACCAAGTCGTCAACGTACACGAGGATGCAGAACGGCGGCAAAGAGGTGTCGGTGCGCAGAAACAGCGACGGGTCGGCAGTAGAAGGAGCAAACCCAAGAGCCGCAAGTGTAGTCCTCAGTGTGTCGTGACACTCACGGGGTGCCTGGCGGAGACCGTAGACTGGCCGCCGGAGGCTCCACTGGGTACCAGGGGGAAACGACCCAGTGGAGCCACGTGGGCGGCGCAGCCAGATCTCCTCGTGCAGGCTGCCCTGCAGGAAAGCTGTGCTGAAGTCAAGAGAGTGAAGCTCGTAGTCACGCTGAGCGGCTATGTGTAGCAGCATCCGAAGAGTGGTCATCTTCGGGGTGGGAGAGAAGGTCTGGAAGTAGTCAACTCCCTGCCGCTGACTGAAGCCTCGAGCCACGCAACGCGCCTTGAAGACAGGCGGAGAACCCGGCGGCCGCTTCACCCTGAAGATCCACATGCCACTGACGATGTTCGCCCCACGTGGGGGAACCTCGTCGATGTAGGTGCCTGTGGACTTCGAGGAAGCCATCTCTGCGTCCATGGCTGACTGCCACTGAGAGGAGTAGGGACCCTCGATCGCCTCAGCGTACGATCGAGGAGTCGGGATGTCTAGTGCATCCGGGTCTCCCTCAGGGGCAATTAGCGTGGACACGAGATGGGGCAAAGCAGCAGCAAAGCACTGGAACTCCTCCTGCTTGTCCTCAAGGACGTCCGTGCTAAGAGCACACTCACCCCCGACGGACGGAGGACAGACAGACTCAGACTCATCAACGAGACTAGCAGCGTAGTCAAGACGACAGCGAGCAGCAAAGTCGACAAGCTCAGCAACAAGAGCAGACGCAGCAGTAGACTCAAAGGAAGGGTCACTGACAAGAGTAGCAAGGAGACGCGTGACCGAAGGACTAGCAGCACGAAGGGAGTCGGACTCCGTGTCAGCAACAGTAGGAAGAGAGGACTCTGGAGGAGACGGCAATGGGACACGCAGAGGAGCAGTGGAAGGACGCAGCGCCATCTGGTGTGTGCTGGGGACCGCAGAAGGACGCGGACGCGCAGTACGACCACTAGTGCGAGCAGCACGAACAGGCGACGCAGGACGAGACGCAAGCGCACGACGCTTAGCAAGACCTCCAGTAGGACCAGTGTAGGGAGAAGGAGCAGGTAGAGGGGAGGCGGGCTGTAACTGTGACTGCGACTGGACAGGCTGTGGACACTCTAAGGAAGGAGCAGGACCAGGAGAGGGCGGGAGACCAAGAACCTGCTCCAGGAGCGGAACGAAGTACGGCCTCGGCCGCTCAGCGCCTCCAGAACCAGCAAGGACAGCACCACTACCCCAAGCGGCAGCACCAGCGCCAGAAGCACCTCCAGCTCCAACAGCGCCAACTCCAGCACCCTTAGAAGCACCAGCGCCAGCAGCACCACCAGCGCCAACACCCCCAGCAGCTCCACCTCTAGCAGCACCAACTTCAGTAGGACCGTCACCTCTAGCCGTCTTAGCAGCACCCCCAGACGCACCAGCGCCAGTAGAAACACCAGCGCCAACACCCCCAGCAGCTCCAGCTCCAGTAGCACTAGGATCGCCAGCAGCTCCAGCAGGACCAACTCCAGTAGCCCCAGCAGCACCCCCAGTGTCAGCAGCACGTCTCCAGCGGCAAGCAAACCACTCGCGCAGCTCCTGTGGAGAGAGTGGCTCCCGCCTCGACGAAGCACCGCCGGCGGCCACACGAGTAGACCCAGCGCCCCCAGGCTCGGCACCCCCAGGCTCCGCACCTCCAGACTCCGCACCCCCAAGCTCCGCACCCCCAGACCAAGCACCCCCAGACTCAGCACCCCCAGTCTCAGCACCCCCAGACTCCGCACCCCAAGGCTCAGCACCCCCAGTCGCAGCACCCCTAGACCCGGCACCCGCAGGCTCAGCACCTCTAGCAGCACCAGAGTCAACAGCTACCTCGACAGGCTCGACTGCGTCTACCTGGGACACACCTGACGGGGCAGGACCCTGAGGGGGGAGGGGGTCTACCGGGGGAGGACGTGGTGCAAGGAAGAGCGGCGGCGGGGGGAGGGGCGCAGTGCGGTAGGCGAAGAGACGGTAGTAAGGCACCGACTCGTCGAAGGTGACGTCCTGGGAGGACAGAACACGGCGCGAGGTGGGGTGGTAAAACTGCCAACCAGGCGCGTCAGGGGGGAAGCCAAGGAAGACGCAGGGAACACCACGGGGGGACAGCTTGTCCGCAGACAAGTCGCAGACAAACGCCCGAGATCCCCAGACCCGAAACGCAGACGCATCGCCAACCTGTCAGAACATTATAGCTTATGCTGTTGTGTAGGCTATAGTGGGGTATCCCATAGGGGGTACAACCCATTTAGGGTTTCCTATATGTACTCACTTCATTCATAGTTGATGCATTCTCGTTCTTATTTTCACATGGAATCAGAGCAGGTCCCCTCCTAGGGACTGTTCCTTGGGCCCACCGAAGCGCGCCTCGAGTCGCGCCTGCCTCTTTTTTTAGCGGCCCGTCGAGTCGCACCTAGCGGCCCGTCCAGCCGCCCTTACGGTCGCGTCGAGCCGCCCTAGCGGCTGCGGCGCGCCGCCCTTTTCCCGGCCCATCGCCGCCCTTACCCGCGGCTTTGCGCCGCCCTCACCGGCGGCTTCGCGCCGCCCCTACCTGCGGCCTCGCGCCGCCCAGGCCCGTTGCCGCCCTTCCCGCGGCTTCGCGCCGCCTCTACCTGCGGCTTCGAGCCGCCCCGGCCCGACGCCGCCTTTACCTGCGGCTTTGCGCCGCCCCGGCCCGTCGCCGCTCTTACCCGCGGCTTCGCGCCGCCCTTGCACCGGCTCGTCGCCGCCCTTACCTACGGCCCGTCGCCGCCCTACCTACGGCCCGTCGCCGCCCTTACCTACGGCCCATCGCCGCCCTTACCTACGGCCCTCCGCCAACCTACCTGCGGCCCTACCCGCCGCCCTACCTGCGGCCACCCGCCGACCTGCCTGTGGCGCACCCGCCGCCCTACCCGCGGCCACCCGCCGACCTACCTGCGGCGCACCCGCCGCCCTAACTGCGGCTCACCTGCCGCCATACCTGCGGCCCACCCGCCGCTCTACCTGCGGCCCCACCCGCCGCCCTATCTGCGGCCCCACCCTCCGCCCTACCAGCGGCGCACCTGCAGCCCTACCTGCGGCTCACCCGCCGCCCTACCTACGACAGCCGCGCCGCCCTGAACCAGCGCCGCCGCGCCGCCCTGCCGCCGAGCCGCCAGGAAGCCGAGCCGCCTGCCGCCGAGCCGCCCTGCCGCCGAGCCGCTCGGAA